TTAAAATATTAATTTTCCTTCATATTATAGATATTTTTAGCAACATATTAAGGAACAAAACCTCCTCAATTGTGGCATTTATATATTTGTATACATAATGATCATTTAGATTCTATTTAATGTTCTTACAATTGTGAACTGAGTTTTCAGTTGTTTAAAGAATTGTTGTAGTTTTCAAACTGAATTTAATATTCACATTAAATTTCCTTTCTAATTGTAAACATTGTGAAATGCTCCACAGGGTCATATTTTTTTTTCTTATATGATAATGAAGAGGTCTAGTGTTTATAAATGTTCTCCTGTAAGGTGAACCTAAATATGACAGATAATTAGTTATACTTTCCAATATAAAGTATTATTTATGAAGGATGATTTGCCTTTGGACATGTTTCTTATTCATTTCTAAATTCTCATTTGGAATGAAGTATGTCTCTCAACGACCATCTACTTTTCCCACTTCATAGAGACAAAGTATCTTGTAGAACTTGTTCTCTTAATGGACCTATGCATATAAGCAATTCCTTGAGATAACTTCTATCATATTTCTTGAAATATCTAAATATTTTCCTATAAACAGTAGAAACTAAATTGTTGGCCAAATTTTCAAGGTCAAAAGCAGGCAGAGGGGTGGACATTTAGCCTTGAGAAATAGATGCTGTTTCTCAGGTCAGAGTACCTGGGTTTAACACTTGACTTTAGCTTCCTACTGAGGCAGACCTTAAGAGGCATTGGTGACAGCTCTAAAAATTGAATTCTTGCTGCCCTTGTGGGAAACCTGGATCGACTCTCTAGCTCTTGGCATTGGTTTTGGCAAAGCCCCATCTGTTTCAGGTATTTGGGAAATAAACCAATGGATTGGGGCTTCCTTTCTGTTGCCTATGTGCTTGTCTGTTTGTCTACCTATCTTTTCTTTCTGGCTCCCAAATAAATAAATAAAAATTAAGCAACAAGGGAGAGAGTCAAACTAACTGGTGAGGCCTTGCAGATGTATAGACAGAGACTTTATCAGGTAACAAGTCCATGTAGTGCCTGAATTTGATGTCTCCACCGCTTAAATCCTCCATTGCCTTTCTTTATGTTCTTCCATATGTGTGCTGAAGTATAAGTCTACAACTGGATACTATTACCCTATCTATCTGCCAGCCACAGATATAATGGAAAGACTGAGGAATTAATCACTGTTTCTGTTTTTTCTGTTTTCCTTGTTTTTTTTTTTTTTTTTTTTTTTTTTTTTTCCTTGCATTCTTCACTGTTGGCACCTTACTCTCTCTAGGAACTACAGTGCTGTCCTTCCTGCTTCTGCCTTTGGCTGCTTTCCCAATCTGAGAAGATAGAATTAGCATGTACTCCCTGAGGAGGACGGGAGGAGACCCAGCAGGGGTGCTTCCTTAGACCTTTCAACCACTGGCAGGGAGTATTCACAAAGGCACCCCTGGAACCAGCCAACATTGTATTTTGTGATGAGTAGTACGAGTGCTTCTGCATTCACGCATAGTCAGCCCAAGGTTAATAATACACAAATATTAATTATTTGGAGATAATAATATGTGTACAGCTTTTGATCTGTGTGTACAACTCCCATTGATATTCCATTAGGAAAACAAAAACACATTCACAATCAATGTTTGCCCAACTTATTTTTAAAGAAGTGTGGGTGTCTTCTAAGGGGAAAAGTATAAAGAATCACTGCTTAATAAAAGAGACATGCATTCCTGTATATAATTTTAATAGTTGAAATTAGACCATAGGCCTTGAATATTTTGCATTCTATTAATGGGGAAAATGTGAAACTTCTGTTTTCTACATAAGCCAAATCTTTAAATTAAATGTCTGAATTTTGTCAGGTTTTCTCATACATACTGGAACTGCAGAACAATTCAGTGGTAGGAAGGTGAATTAGAAGATGACTGTTCATAATATTAGAGACCGAATCAGATGAAGACATTTTAGTGTACTTTTTCCAAAAATATGAGGGTGGCTGTGTTTTCTAAATGGCATGATTATTTTTCATTTCCTTCAACTTTATTTTGTGGAGATAGTCAATAGGTCTTCAAAATAGAGTGTTGTAATATGGTTTTTCTCTTAGTTAGCACTGATAGATTCTTCTCCAGGCCTTTCCACTTGCTAGACATGTGATATCTCCATTTCACACCTTCACTTCAGTACAGTTCCATGCTGACATTTCTCTCTGGGGAGAAGACTGTGGCCTGGTGTTAGCATCACACATTCTAAGAGCTAGGAATCATTGAGTTCTAATCTCAACACTGGGTTCCTTTGTGACTTAGACAAGTCACTTTCCCTTAGGTTCAAAATCTGTTGGAGGGATGACAATGATAGTGTGAGTAGTAATTAATGTCAGTAAAATGTTGTAGTAATTCAAATATTATTATCATTATCTCAATGCAGTTGGTTAATTTGGGCAACCTCCTATGAGTTCAAATATGTTTGTTGATTCAACTATAAATATACATGATATGTACATTCTGTAGTCACATATATTTTACTAGTCATAAAATTATGAATGTATCATATATTAAAAATTTATTGAGAATTGCCTCATTTTTATTTAAAATGTATTTTATGCAGAAAAAGTATCAATAGTTGTCTAAGCAAGTGTATAATATTCTATCTCTGTGATAAGTACTTGCAATGAAATTATTAGAGAATAATTTTGGTTTTATGGTGAAGAAGAAAACTTATCTCAGCATTTCAGGCATGGAAAGTCAAGACACTGCTGCAAAAACTGACCTAAATGAAAGATCTCTGTGAGTGAGATCCCAGCAGAAAAAATGGCCATCAAAGAAGGAGGTACCTTTCTCTGAAGGGAGGAGAGAACTTCAACTTTGACTATGGCCTTGTCTAAATAAGGTCAGATTTGTGGACTCAAGAGGCTTCCATAGCCTTGGCAGCTCATGACAAGAGCCTTATTTATGACAATGACGTCATAAATAAGAATGTCATTTGTTAAATCAACAACAGGAGTCACTGTGCACTTGCTTCCCATGTAGGACCTTTGTCCTTAATGTCTTGAACTATGAGAGTTAACAGTAAAACTAGTCTTCAAACAGTACTTTATACTTTAGATGTCTGTGTGGGTGCAAACTATTGAAATCTTTACTTAGTATAGAGTTGATCTTCTGTATATAAAGATAATTAAAAATGAATCTTAATGAAGAATGGGATGGGAGAGGGAGTAGGAGGTGGGATGGTTTGGGGGTGGGAGGGTGGTTATGCGGGGAAGAACAGCTAAAATCCAAAAGTTGTACTTATGAAATTTATATTTATTAAATAAAAGCTTTCTATAATAAAAACTTATCTATTTCAAAATTTCATATTTAATAAAAGAAGAAAGAATATAGTAAAAGAAACATGAAGATTTCAAGAGGATATCTGATCATTCCTGTTTAGAAATTACTTTTTCATGTTTATGTGTTTGTTTATATTTTCAAAAGTAATACCCTAGGATATCTCTATGTCAGCCACTGTTCTGGGTACTAGGGACAGAGCAGTGAGCAAAACATGTTCTCAAAGTAGAAGGAAGGTGGCAGCATATATTTTTTCTGATATAATTTTCTATGGAAAATAAGCAGGATACAAGGTAGGGATTGATCATGCAGGTATATTTTTCATGCAGTGCTACCAGAAGTCCTGGAAGTAATTACTGTTTAACCCTAAACCTGAATGAAATTGGAAAGCCAAGCATGTGACTATCAGGAGGTAGAATTCTCCAGGCAGAGGTAGAGCTAGTGCAAAAGTCCTGAAGTAAATTTAGTATCTTTGAGGAACAGTAAAAGAATGGATATGACCAGAACACAGTGAGTGAAAGGTTTGACAGAACATAGTGTTGTAAATGTTAGAGTCTTATCATACGTGGTCTTCAGATAGTAAACTCTTCATATTTTGTACTCTGGGAAAAGGGAAACAAATGGAAAATTTGGAATCTAGAATTTATAAAGTGTGACTTTTATTCTTGCAGTTCTAAGGGGAATGGATTATAAGGAAGTGTGGTAGGATGAATCACGTTCCACATAAAATATGTCCAAGTCCTAATCTCCAGAATTTGTGAATGTTATTTTATATGATAAGGGGCGGGCATTATGGTGCAGGAGGTTAAACCTCTGCTTGGGATGCCCATACCCCATATCAGGGTGTCTGGTTTGCATCCTAGCTGCTGGGCTTCCGATCCAGCTTCCTTCTCATGAACCCAAGAGGAGGCAGATAATGGCCTACATACTTGAATTCTTGTCACCCATATGAGAAATCTATGTGGAGTTACTGGCTCCTGGCTGTGGCCTGAACCAGCCCTAGATATTAAGAGCACTTGGGGGGCGAACCAGAATATGGAAAATTCTCTCTCTCTCTTGCTCTCGCTCTCTCTCCTTCCCAGTCACTGTGCCTTCCAAGTAAATAAATAAATAAATAAATCTTTTACTAAAGGAAGGACTGTAAATTAGGAGATATTAAAGAAGAACTTTGCAATGGGAAGCAACCTCAATTATCTGGGTGGATCTAATGCAATCATAAGAGACTTAACAGAGGGAATCAGGAGATCAGAGTCAGGTGATATGACCCTGAACAGTAGGTGGTGTGGGAGGAAGAAGTTGGAGTGATACAAGGAAGAGGTCATGACTGAAGGAATGCAGGCAGCCTCTGGAATTCACCCGAGGCAAGGAAACTGATTCTCCCTGTGTTGTCCCCAGCCTTGCCAACATTGAACTTTAGCAAAGTAAGACCAATTTTGGACTTCTGACTTCCAGAACTATAGGAAAACACATTTATGTTGCTTTAAACCACTAAGTTTATAGACATTTATTACAGCAGCCAAAGGACCAGAGAGAAAGGGTACAAACTAGAAGTTCAGCTAAGAGGCTGGCATCCAGAGATGTGATGGCTTATACTAGAGTGAAATGGAGAAGGTTGTAAGAAGCTGTAGGACTCAGAATTTAATTTGGAGGTGAGCTTATACGATTTTCTCATAAATTGGATACAAAGTGTGCTAGGAAGAGATGGTTCAAGAATGATTTTTAAGATTTGGATTAAACAATTAAATGAAAATTTCATTTGCTGATATGGCAATGGTGACAAGTCAACAACACACATTTTTTGAGTATGCACTAAAGTCTAGGCATCATTCTAAAGATGCTGGTTTATATATCCATGTCTTCACAAAATCTACAATTCGGCAGAGCGTTTCTCAAGTGTGTCCTCTGGAACACCTGCATCAGAATCATATAGGTGATTATTAATATTGTCAAATTTTAGATCTTAACCAAAGAGAATGAATTAGAATCACTTGGGCTAGGACCCAAGAATAGCTTTATAACAAGCTCATCAGAGAGAAAAGAGCTTGTTTACTGAAGTTTGAAATATTGATCTAATGGTTCTTTATTATTCTAATTTTATAACTTGTAGTTTTCCTGCATTGTGATGCAGACATATCTTACCTCTTACATTACAAAGTTGCTGTTTAGCTCACACAATGAAACTCTGTGTGTGTATGCGTGTGTTTTTTAAAGGAGATTAATGGTAATTTTTAGAGCAATGGAATAAAGAGTGGACTTCAAGAAAAGTGAAACTAACTATATGAATAATATTTCCCAGAATGGAATTATCAGAGATATGAGCAAGGAAGAGTATTCATGGTTTCTGTGAGAGGCAAGTGGCCAAAGATTTGAGTGAATAGAAGTACTTTCAAGTGGATTTAAGGACAAAGCACAAGTGCATATAGGACGGTATTTATTTATTTATTTACTTATGATTTATTTCATTTATTTGAAAGAGTTACAGAGAGAGGTAGAGACAGAGAGAGAGGTCTTCCATCCGCTGGTTCACTCTCCAGATGGCTGCAACGGCTGGAGCTGAGCAGATCAAAAGCCAGGAACCAGGAACTTCTTCTGAGTCTCCCACATGGGTGCAGGGGCCCAAGGACTTGGGCCATCATGTACTGCTTTCCCAGGCCATAGCTGAGAGCTGGATTGGAAAAGGAGCAGCCAGGACTAAAACAGATGCCCCTATGGAATGCCAGCGCTGCAGGCCAGAGCTTTAACCTGCTGCACCGCAGTGCCAGCCCCAGGATGGTATTTATAATACAAATGTTTATGAATATGAGTGTTTTCCCCCTTACTCAGATTTAAATATCCATTGGCATTATGGTGCAGCAGGTAAAGTCATTGCTTGGGCCATCCATATCCTTTATCAGAGTGCCTCTTGTGAGTTCCATCTACTAAAACCAGCCTCCCACTAATGCATCCTGGTAGGCAACAGATGATGACTCAAGTACTTGGGGCCCTGTCATCCACTTGGGAGACCTGGGTGGAGCACTGGGCTCCTGATTTATGCCTAGCCCAGCCCTGGCTATTGTGAGCATTTGGGGAGTGAACTAGAGAGTGGAATGTTTGTCTGTCTGTCTGTCTCTCTGTCTCTGTCTCTCTCTCTTCTCCCTTCCCCCTCTCTCCCCTTTCACTCTCTTTCAAATAAGTAAAAATACATATATAATTTTGAAAATTAATAATATTTAAGTATCACACTCTAGATAAAAATGATAAAAAATAATGTATTGAGATGAGAGATTAGTTTACAAATATGCTATAATAGAAGCACAAACCAACATTTTGCTTCATTTGCTGAAAAATAATTGTGTTCTAATTGTTTCCTTTGCTGTTCCAAATTCTACATAATGCAGATTTTTCAAAAAGTTTATTGAGTGCCTATTTTATGCTCTACACTGTATTAAGTGACATATGTGAAATGGTGCTGTTAATCCTCATAAAATTTTATAATTATGTAATATGATTTTATTAACTATGCTGCAGAATTTATAGCACTTGTGTCAATAATATTCTCAAAAATTGTCTGGGTACTGTTCCTAGTATCATGGAATTTTACAGAGTGGATATCCAATTAATGAATTTAATTAGTTTGAAAAGACAACATTCATTCATGATTATAGGTGAAGTTAAAAATGCCTCTCCCTTCACTACATAATGTTGTATTCCCAATTTCAGTTTGTCATTTGGTGCTTGAACGATGGTGTGTGAAAGATCTCAGAATTTCATTAGCCTAATTTCAGATTGAGTCCCTAACATTTCTAGACTTCCTGCTCAGTTCTTTCAATGTGTAGGCATAGTAGATTTTGTGCATCTCTCCAGTAGTTATCTGCTCTGAAATCTGTGATTTGTATCTTACAGAATTCAATTCAAAGTTCTTGGGAGGGATGCTCCTATCTCCTTTAATCATTTTCCTTAGTTAGTTTATTCTTGTATTCTTTTTCTATCATGCAATTTCATTTCATGTAATTTCTATCATGTAATATCATTTCTCACTGATATGCAGATGTGTTCAAGCAGGGTCTCTTACAATGAGACATGATAGTTATCCTGTTTAACCTATATTATTGCATTGCGTGCTCATGTTTTCGACAGCACAGGAATCCCAAAATCTCTGTGGTTTCTCTGAACATACTGCTTAACCTTTATATTCACAACTTCAATATTGGAAGTGCAATAAACTCCAAAACAGAGTTATCTACTGCAATTATAGCTCTAAACTTATAATTTCATATTCATTGAAAAAATCTTTATAGTGATAAAAGATTTCATACTATGAGGAAATATTGATATTACCTAAAAAAGACTATATTAAAGAATATACTTATCTGCTACATAAAAATGACCTCAACAAAATAAGATGAAAGCTGATTTACCTCTCTTGATAACTAATCAGGAACAGTATGACAGCTTAGTGGCATCAGGGATTCTAGCTCTTTCTGTCTTCTTGCACTGTCATTGTTAGAGTTTGTTCTCATGCATGTGATGGAAAAGACTTCCCAAAGTGATGAAAAGAAGACAGAAGAGGGAGACACATTGCTTCTCTGTAGAACATCCTACAAGCTGCACATAGCGTTTCTCCAACATTTCACAGACACGAACTGACTCCAATGGTGAAACCTAAATAGAAAAGAGACTGCACAATGAAGTCTATAGGTAGGTTAACCTATGGCCAACTAAAGCTTCTATTACTGTAGAAAAAGGAAAGCAACCAAAAAAATAGTGAAAACAAGGGACTGGCATTGTGGCACAGTGGGTTAAGCTGTGGCCTGTGATGTGGGCATCCTATATGGGAACCAGGTAGAGTCTGGGTTACTCCACTTCCAATCCAGTTCCCTGCTAATGTGCCTGGAAAAGCAGCAGCAGATGGCACAAGTGGTTGGGTCCTTGCATCCACATGGGAGACTCAGTTGAAATTCTGGGCTCCTGGCCTCAGCCAGACCCAACCCTGGCCATTGTGGCCATTTGGGGGAGTGAATCAGCCTATGGGAGATTTCTCTTTCTCTTTCTGTCTCTCCCTCACTGTAATTCTGCCTTTCCAATAAGGAAGTAAAAAAAAATCTTTAAGACAGAAAAAGGAGAACAGAAGTTTGAGGAATGAACTATTAGTTCTATTGGAACAATAGAGGAAATGATAAATATTTTGTTATTACATACCATGTGGTGCTTCCTTTGTGTTTCACTCTTTCCCTTACCTCTAACACATTTTACTCAAAATACAATTCATCAAAACTTGACTCAAGCTTTAAGGTTCAGCTTAAATTTCATTTCCTTTCTTCCCTGTGTAGAAAAAAGAAACCTTTTCAAACAATAATTCTGTTTAGCCATCTTTTTTCCATCCATCTTGCTGTGGAAAATGGGGAAATACAAAAAGCAAAGTATGATTTTCACTTGTTCTGTTCCATGGGCTGTGAGCTGAAGTAACGCAGACTCTTCCTCTGGCACTGTGAATGTGAAACCTTGTGTTTTAGTTGAGGAAGCCAGTTCTGGAAGGGTGGATACTTTTGCATTTTTGGATTCCTGGCTGATGACCCCTCTTGAGTTGAATACATGTTGTGTATGGGAGAAAACTTCCTTTTTGGATCAAGGCACTGAGATTTTGAGGATGTTATCACAACAGAGTCAGTCACTGCCTTTGACTCTCCCAGCTTGATTGCTCTCTTCTGCCTGTTCTTTGCATATATAGAGAGTTTTGTATATCAATTATACTTTTTTGCCTGTGTGTTTCTGGTTTCTTGGGAAAATGACATATTACTCAGTGGTGTCTGGTATATAATAGAGCTCAGTAAAAGCTGATTGTTTAGATAATTTCTAGAGTTGAAATAGATAGAAGCAGCGAGTTATCAGAGAAGTTGAAACTCAAGTTGAAAATAGAAATAGTTTATGAAGCAAAGGTATGGCATGGTGTATAATTCAGATGCCAACATATGACTAGAATACTCCCACTTTATGATCTCTGAATGGCCTTTTGGAAACCCACAGCCAAGTTATCTTTTCTACAATTTTTGATCAGATAAAATATTCACTTCTTAATGCAGTATTGACTTTTAAAAATTTAAAAACTTCTGCAATTGCATAATTGTAGTAAAATTTACATTCTGTTTAATGCTATAAGGATTCACTAGCAAGCATATTTTAGAATTGCTTCTTTTCTAATGAGAACAACAGAGCATATGATACAACTTTCCAGATAAATATAGCTCTCTCTACAAGTATTATCTCACTTCCTACTCACCATGGTCCAGTGATTTATGGATTATTATCATCCCTATTCCACAGATCAGGAAATTGAGTACTCTGGGCTGTGTCTCTATTATCATGGAACCATTCAACACTCTTGGCAGTTATTTACTTCATTTCATGGAATAATGTATAGATTTATTATAAAATAAATTTTAATATTTAAGTATGATTTTATCTCCTTTGTGTCCTGAATATATTTCTATCATTCATTTTTTTCTTTTATCAAAAATAAAAATCAAATTTGTGTACATTGATTCACCATTAAGACTTGAAATATGAACTGCTGCCTAGAAGAAGATCAACATTTACAGGGCAAAGTGCAGGACCAGCGTCTGAAGGAGTTGCATTTAAATTGTTTATGACACTGAAATAGTTACTCAAGGGTAGCCAGAAGAGCTGAAGTAAGTAACCTGAGATGTTAAAATGATCTTTGTCACAGACATTTAAAAAGAGCAAAGAACTGTGGATTAAAGCAAAACTTATTTGCATTTATTCACTCCCCATTCCTAAGTGGATTTTGAAACATTTCTACTTGGATAATGTAGTAGGAAAACCACAGTTTATATTGATGTTTTATCACCAACAAGCGTTGTTTAAGGCTAAAATTAAATGAAAGAACTTGGAACCACTTTTCAAGTCAGAGCAGGAGAAAACATTTGAAACAACTGAGATGTAATTATTTAAATATAATCTTGCATAAAAAAGATAAATCAGTCATTTCATCTTGTTTCTTTTTCCAAATCATTTTATGTGACAAAATAACTCTCACCATAATTTAACTATATCCTTTCTATTTTATGAACTTATTATAGTGTGCTGACAAATTATTGCTTATACTATTTCCATAGAGTGATAAAGGCAGAATGTTCCACTCAGTATAAGGTTTATGTTTACTGGAGGCAAGATTTCCTTCAGCATTATTTTAAGGAACTTGGATCCTTGCCACAAAAGTTCCTTGCCACAAAAAGTTCAAGTGACCACTTAGGATTTCTCATTAAGAACTACTGTATGCAAACACATGAGCTGTGGATTGATTCTTACTTAATTACTAGACCACCAACTTTGCAAGTGCCATTATCTGCAATAAAATCTTAGACACTGTACAAAACCATCATGATTTTCCTTCTAATCTCTCTGGTGTGTTTCAGACCATCTATGGAAGGCTCAAAAGTAGTACATATAATTTCACACTTATGTGTCAAGTTGATGGAAAAAGTGGGCATGCTACAATGCTTTCAGAGTTGCAATTCAAGTGAGAAATCCAGCTGCATATTAAATTCATGGATGAACAATGGAAACTTGAAAGCCATAATTTCAAGTTTTATTTCTGCAGGTATTGGCATATGACACCAAATTATTAACTCTAGCACAATACAAAATTGAACACGTAAGATTTACATAGGGATAAGAGAGCTTTATGAGGTTTAGGAATGTGCAAAAACTGAAGAATACTTTCATAACACAGTAGTCAGTCTTATGAAGTATAAACTGAGCAATAGTTTCCAAGTACAACCTCCACCTGATATGGTAACTTACATGTAGTCCTCATAGAATTGGGCAAGAAAGCACTGAAATGCAAAAACAATGTCAGGTAGTAGGTATACATTTGTTAGCTCTGATTGCTGATACATAAGGATAACTCATAATCTGATAATAAAAGTACCTTTAACACAGAGACTTTTGTAGGTAAGAAAGGGGTTAGTGAAATTTTACAAGTAGCAGTTTGCTCATAAGTTGCTCCCATTACATTCCAAAATATAGACGTTTATAAGTCAATACCCTCATATGCCAGCAATGAAGAGTTTTCTCTCATATGTTTCTCTTCATATGTTATTGAAATGAAATACTCATGTGGTTTTTGTAAGATGGCATGGCAGGTATATTTATACTAACACACAGAAGTTTCTCTTCATATGTTATTGAAATGAAATACTCATGTGGTTTTTATAAGATGGCATGGCAGGTATATTTATACTAACACATAGAAGAAAACCTACTAAGAAATTAGAGTTGACAAAGGCCCCAGTGCACAGATCATGCATCAGAATATTTAAATAAAGATCTCAATAATCCCCAAACTGATTCACAGATTCAATGCAATTCTAATAAAAATCCCAGATTTCTTTGTAGAGATTGGCAAGATGTTTCTAAAATGCATGTGAAATTTCAAGAGATGTAGACCAACCAAAGCAATACAGAAAAAGAAGAATAGAAGTGAAGACTCACACTTTGAATTTCAAAATTTACCACAAAGGATTAGTAATCAAGACAATGTGGCACTGGCATAAAGAAAGGTATGTAGGTTAATGGAATAGAATTGAGAGTCCAAAAGCAAACTCATAGATTTATGGCCAACTGATTTTTTTGTGTGAGAGTGCTAAAGACATTCAATAAAGGAAAAATAGGTTTTCCAACAAATAGTGCAGGGGCAACTGGATACCCACATGCAAAACAATGATCTTGGGCCCTTCCTTCTTGTTTTTAAAAACAAGTGTGTGGGCCAGTGTTGTGGTGCAGTAGGTTAAGCCACTGCCTGCAGTGCTGGCATCCTATATGGGCGCTGGTTCAAGTCCCAGGGCATCTCGTTCCAATCCAGCTCTCTGCTATGGCCTGGGAAAGCCATAGCAGATGGCCCAAGCACTTGGGCCCCTGCACCCACGTGGGAGACCTGGAAGAAACTCCTGGCTCCTGGCATCGGATCAGCCCAGCTCTAGCCTTTGTGGCCATTTGGTGTGGGGAGCAACTCGGACTATACTGTTACTGGAATTAGGACTTATTCTATGCATCTGCTCTCCCACAATATGGCGCTGGGAGAGAAGAAAACAGCTTCTACACAGCTGCCTCCAGTTCAGCTAATGAACTGTAGGACTTGCTGCTGATTGGAGGAGAGCAGCGTGCTCGGCGTGTGGGCAGCCGAGTTGGGATTGGCAGAGGAGGACTATAAAGGAGGAGAGAGACGGCATGCACCGGGAACATCTAAGGGGAACATCTAAGGGGAACATCTAAGGGGAACACCTGTGCAGCCCCCGAGAGAGCCGGCCGGCGGTGTGCTGCTCCCCTGCGGAAGTGGGGAAAGCGGCCAGGGGGAACTGCCCTTCCACGGAGGTGGAAGGGACAGTAGCCAACCCGGGAAGAACCAGCAGCAAACCCGGGGAGGACCGAGCAGACAAAAGAACAGCGCAGGGTCCTGTGTCGTTCCTCCACGAAGAGGGGGAGTGACAATTTGGGAAGTGAATCATCGGATGGAAGACCTTTCTGTCTCTCCCTCTCATTGTCTGTAACTCTACCTCTCAAAATAAATAAATAAAATCTTAAAAAACAAGTGTGATGATGGTTATACATAGTTGTTAATAAATTAAAAAAAATTTATTTGAAAGCTTTTAAAAATGACAAAGGGATGAGCATTTTTCTAGTAGCTAAGCTGCTGGTTAAGCTACCAATGAGGATGCTTGTGTCCCATATAAGAGAAATTCTGATCAGTCCTTATCTCAGGCTCTTGATTCTTTTTATCTTATATTTTGACAGGCAGAGTGGACAGTGAGAGAGAGACAGAGAGAAAGGTCTTCCTTTGCCATTGGTTCACCCTCCAATGGCTGCCGCGGCCGGCGTGCTGCGGCCGGCGCACTGCGCTGATCCGATGGCAGGAGCCAGGTACTATCCTGGTCTCCCATGGGGTGCAGGGCTCAAGGACTTGGGCCATCCTCCACTGCACTCCCTGGCCACAGCAGAGAGCTGGCCTGGAAGAGGGGCAACTGGGACAGAATCCGGCACCCCGACCGGGACTAGAACCTGGTGTGCCGGCGCCGCAGGCGGAGGATTAGCCTATTGAGCCGAGGTGTAGGCCTCAGGCTCTTGATTCTAACATCTTGCTAATGCAGATCATAGGAGGCAACAGTGATGGCCCACACAGCTGAATTTGTGTTACCCATGTGGGAGACCCAGACTGAGTTCAAGGTTCCTCACTTTATCCTCCTATCTATTGGCAAGCACTTGGGGAATGAATCAGTAGATGAGAGCTCTCCCTCTCTCTGCATGTCTCATTCTCTATGTTTCTCTTTGTTTCTCAAATACACATATATGCATTTAAAAATCTGACAGTTATTAAAACTGATGAAAAACGACATGATCTTTTGAAATATAGAATGCATTTTGGAATTAATGTTAAATCAAGCCAATTAACCTATCTATTATAGCAAAAGGGTAAATTAAAGCAAGTGAATTGTAGCTCTAGTGAATTGTTTCTCAATAAAGTTATTTTTAAAGAAATACTTGGGTTTACTCACTCATGCTGTACATTTACTCTAAGGTTAGATAGCAATTACACAACAGCCGAATAATGTGAATTTTGGAAAAAAAGACATATGGTAATGTGTCAAATCCTACGGAACTGAATATTCAGTTCTTATAGATGAACAAAACCACAAAATATCCAGCTTTTTCTATATTAAAGCAAATTATTTGCAAGTGATGAATAAATAAGACAGAAATACTAATGAGCCAAGGATTAGATTTATATTTAGAAATGCAGTCATTTTTTTTTTAAAAAAGGTTATTTATTTATTTGAAAGGCAGAGTGACAGAGAAGACAAGACAGAGAGGAGAGGAGTGAGAGAAACAGAGAGACCTTCTCTCCGTTGGTTCACTCACCAGATAGCTGCAACAGCCATGGCTGAGACAGACTGAAACCAGGAACCCAGAACTCTATCTGGGTCTGTCATGTGGGCGGCGGAGACCCAAGTACTGGGGTCAAGATTCGCTGCCTTCCCAGGATGTTATGAGAATTCTGAATCAGAAATAGAGCAGCTGGAACTCAATCCAGCACTCCAATATGGGATGCAGGTATCATAAGCAGTGGTTTAACACACTGCTCCATGATGGACAACCCAGAAAAAGCAATCTTAAACTGGAAGCTATCATAAATCTTTATTGACTTACCCTAATGTTTAAGACAGCTTTCAGAGGTAGCCTTTGAAACATTTGCTTTAGAAAAAAATTATCTAAATTTGGAAAATAAAGAGAAAAAAAGAGAGTGGGCCCAAGACAGAAACAAAAGAAAAAAGTGATAAATACACAAATATAACTACTTATGGAGGAAGTTATATTCAAGAGGATATGGTTAATTGTTCTAGACAGAGTAGACCAAAAGATAAAGCACATGAAGTATAACTGGGAAAAAGATGAGAGAATTAAAAGTCTCCATTTAAGAAATCAAGTTATAATGCAAAATTAGAAAATTTTTTTAAAGATTTATCTATTTATTTGAAAGTCAAAGTTACACAGAGAGAGGAGAGGCAGAGAGACAAAGAGAGAGGTCTTCCATCTGTTGGTTCACTCCCCAATTTGCCGCAATGGCTGGAGATGTGCTGATCCAAAGCCAGGAGCCAGCGGCCTCCTCCCAGTCTCTCAAAAGGGTGCAGGGGCCCAAGGACTTGGGCCATCTTCCATTGCCTTTCCAGGCCACAGCAAATAGCTGGATTGGAAATGGAACAATCGGGACTCGAACCAGCACCCATATGGGTTGCCGGCACTGCAAGCGGAAGCTTTACCCGCTATGCCACAGCGCCAGCCCCGGAAAATTAGAAATTTAATTACACAAATCTTAAAAAGATTAACATCATCAGGTTGTAAAGCAGTAAAAGTTATTTGCTGCTTAAAGTTTTTAAGTAACTTCATCAAAATCACCTATAGAAAAGATTGAGGCATTTCCCAAGAAGGCAATGGGTATTTTGGGGAGAATTTAGTCTTATTCAGAGAATAGAGTTTAATCACTAAGGTGGAGGTTGGCCTATACGAGTATTGTTCTCGGAAGCAGTATTCAAAGGACCTTGACACATTGTGTACTTGGTAATAATCCAAATCTATGTTGGAAAATAGTTTTATGTGGAATGATTCAAAGATAAATAGCAACAGAACAGCTTACGATTTTCGTTATATAACTAGTGTATATGTTTGTGTGTATAGATATTATATATAATCAAAGGTAGTTTGTAGATGCTGTATTATTGAAAGTTAACAGAGGTAAAAAGACCATGAAATACAGTATAATGTAGTATGATGAGAAGGACCAAAATAGAAGGAAAGATATCATATGGTTTTAGAAGTATTATCACACCATAATTAATATATAGGGAGAGTTTCAAAAATTTAGCCTGGGACAAGTGTTGTGCCACAGTGGGCTAAACTGCTATCTGCAACACCAGCATATTTCCCAGCTCACTGATAATGTACCAGGGAAGGCAGTAGATGATAGCCTAAGTCTTTGGGCCTCTGCCACCCACATAGGAGACCAGGATAGTGGTCCCAGGTCCTGGGATGCTCGCTCTCTCTCTCTCCCCTTCTCTCAGTTATTCTGCCTTTCAAATAAATAAATAAATAAATAAATCTTTTAAAATAATTTAGTATAAATTGAGACCAGCTATGTGCTCAATCAACATATACTGAAAAAATGAATTTCAGTGAACATCCTTGACACATACTGAATATCAGAATTCATTCTTTTCACTGTTTCTCCTCATTCCTTATCTTATCTCTCTAGGAGAGTTTAATAGAATAGTTCTTGCTTTGGATCAGATAAGCTTAGACCTAAAATTGTTTTATTTTTTAACACTTAAAATTTCCCTATGGTAAAAACATTTGAAATCTTTTTTTCTAACATATTTTAGAGAAATCTACAGTAGATTAACATTATCTACACTCTCCTTTCTGTGCAATAGGATAGCAGACTTCTTACTCTTATGTAAGTATAACTTATTAACCTTATGATCTTGATGATCTCAGTAAGGCAATATTTTGGCATGGTTTTATGCCTATTTTTTCTGTGCTGCAAATATAGTAGAGTTACACAGACAAGATTTGGAAGGATGATGAGATGGAGTTGATGGGAGCAGTAAGGCATGTCCCTGGGTGAACTTAGTGTCCTGATGTTTGTAGGGGCCCAGCTCATGCAAATCTGCTGCACTGGTGTTGGCTGATTTCTGAAACCCATGACACCTCATTTTAGTGGCCTATTGAGGCCTTTACTTTACTTTTGTCTCCTCACAAAAATTTCATGCTCCTTGTTGGAGTCCCTTTCTTTCTTATTTTTATTTACAGATACTTGTACTCTACCCTTATAAGCAGTGTGGTATGCTAGACCTGCTATGTGAATGATGAGAAAGCTAAAGGCTATGTTACTCTACCACAGTTATGTGGCCATTTCTCAACAGTGGATCTCTAGATGTAATGCATATGCCTTTGCTCTCTGTTTTCAGTTATGACTTCAACTTCAGATGAGGATGAGAAAGGGGGTGGCATGGTGGTGGAGATGGAACAGCTATTTTGGAGCTGGTATCCCACAATCATTTATTTAGGGGGCCAATACTATTTTGATTCTTTCTAGAGAATATGACATAGCAGGTCTTTCTATTACAGGCTGACCAGAGATATGCGAATTTTAAACTTCTTGCTTGGACTTATGAACATTTATATTCAATTTTCTCCAGGTCAGAGACCAGATAAAAATAGGAAGCACCAATATCCAACTTGGAATGTGAATGGGCATCTATGAAAGTCCTATGAATTATTTCCCTAATTTTGCTAATGAAAGCATTATTTGGTAAGAGCCAGTTGAGAGTCAAGTAGCCTTTTCAATGATGTTACTTAAATCAAGGAAGTTGACTTGGAAAGCTGTATTTTAACACTATTGAGGTAATTAAGGGTAATATATACCTGTTCTAACAGAGTTCACTTCTGAGACAAAGTGCTATATTCATGTAATATCTCCATTCAATTTCACCAAAATGATTTTACACAGAAAAAGCAGATTATAGTCTCAAGTCTCATTTTTGCATGATATGATTCCTTTTGGTTGAGTTTCTGGTTCTCATTATTTAAAAAACTTAGTAGATGGTACAATCTCAATAAAATATATACACAGTAAAATTTTTTGATATTACATATTTTTCTAAGAAATAGGGAAATAAATTTTTCCTGCATCAAGAATAAAACAGGCCGGCGCCACGGCTCAATAGGCTAATCCTCCACCTAGCGGCGCCGGTACACCGGATTCTAGTCCCGGAAGGGGCGCCGGATTCTGTCCTGGTTGCCCCTCTTCCAGGCCAGCTCTCTGCTGTGACCCGGGAAGGCAGTGAAGGATGGCCCAAGTGCTTGGGCCCTGCACCCCATGGGAGACCAGGAGAAGCACCTGGCTCCTGCCTTCGGATCAGCGTGGTGCGACGGCCGCAGCACGTCAGCTGTGGCGGCCATTGGAGGGTGAACCAACAGCAAAAGGAAGACCTTTCTCTCTGTCTCTCTCTCTTACTGTCCACTCTGCCTGTAAAAAAAAAAAAAAAAAAATTCTAATGAACTTGAAATGAAATCAGAAATTAAATAAAAAATGTCTAATATAATTTCAATATGAATTGTACATACTTATTCAATATAATTCAACTGAATTAAAAGACTTTAACATTTTTCCCACCTATCTTTATTTAGGGTGGCCAGATTAGATACAGATTTTATGTTAAATCTGAATCAGATTAGATGAACAAAATTTTTTTGGACCATACTTATACTAAAAAATAAAAATCATTGTTTATTTCACATGCAAGTTTAGTTGAGTATATTATATTCATATTTTCAAAATCTGACTAATTTAGTTCCACTTAGCTAGTGCATTACTCTTCTATTTAGAGAATATTTTTACACATCCATGAAAGAAAGATGTTGCATAATCATTCTAAACAGGATAAGGCTTTTTATTTTGAGTCATTTCAAAAATGGAATAAGGTCTGGAGATTTCCAAAGGAAACTGATGTGAGAGTAGAATTCTAACACTTTGGACAAATTAATAAAATTATTTTGGGTTTAGCTCACTAATAGTGGTAGAAGGCATTCATAAATAGGAGAGGTAGAAGAGTAAGTAAAATAGAGAGAGCAATGACCTTGGACAGGGACAGTCATAAATAATTCAAGGAATGATAATGGTAGATAGGTTAATATTTAACTTTGAAGCTCGTTTTTCAACTTTATTGGTACAGCACTTAAATATATTCCAGAAATTTATTATATATACATTCCAGATATTAATTTTTTAATGTTGAAAATAGGCCTCTGAATAGGTCATGTTATAAGCCCCATTTTATTTTATAGATGAGAAAGTTGAAACAAGGAGAAGCTAAGTTTAATGTTGGATGTCAAGTAATGGTAAGTAAAGCATTTGAAACCCACTAGTACAGTTCTTTTATCTTTATGTCAAACTGCTATTCCATATTACTTAAACTATTAATTCTATTGTGTATATAAGACACTGTAATAGAAATGAGAAATTAATATCTATACTGATGTGCCTGGTAGTCTTAGAATTGGAAATAATTGGTGTCAGACAAAGAAAAAAAGGGGGGGCAAAGAAATTAATCACCATTAAATAGGGAATGAGTTTTATGAAAAAATAATTGTTTGGTACTATTTTTGAAAAAGTAAAAGTAAAATTTACGAAAATAGATTATTTTGCTACACAATAAGAAAATTAAGTTTGTAATTGCAACTCTAAACTAATTATTAGGTTTTAAAAAGTAAGAGGAGAGAAGCATGTGGCAGACTTTAACTGACATTCTTTTATCTACAAACTTTCCCATCCTGGTCTTAGTGAGCACGGATTTTACACATATGTGTATTAATTCAGTAACTTTCTCAGGAGTTAATTTCCTTGGTTCTTAAATAATTGTTTTATGATACATCTCCTGGGTCATCATCAGTTGATATTTTTTTTTCTTCAGAATTAACTGGTCTAACTGAAATTTTCTCCTTGTCAAAATCTTTGGGATATGATTTGTCAAACCATTACCCAATCTCAACTTTAATAAACATCACATAGTTCTGTCACAAAATTTCTAATTTTACTAAATAATATTTTTTACAGATTTAAAATTATTTCATGGAATTTTTGCAAGACTAGACAACCACTTAAAGGTTAATAAAACCCTGATCAAAGGGCAGATAAAGATTTGTTTCAAATTGTGTATTAATTTTATGAAGTCAGTTCATTATACAATATTTTTATGATAAGGTACATTTTACTTCCACCTTTAACCACTGTGGAATTAAGGAAAATAAAATGGATAGATAAATAACTAATATTACCCATGTTGGTATATTTGGAATATTTTTCAGATATTAATTATTATTAACAAAATTATCTCATGTGTATTAAGTTGTGGTAACAATTTTTGCACAAGAGTAAAGAAAGATAATGTTTCTATATTATTTTGGCAATGCAAAAGAACTAAAAAAGTCAGATCTTTTGAGTTTGAGATGTAATTTATTAATTTAGTGTCAGCTACTTTAAAACTAAACCAGAGGTTTATCAAATTAAAATAAATCTCATTTGAAAATTGAACAGAATATGATATCTTTTTAAATGTCTAGTATTTTTAATGGAACCCTTAAAAATATCAGCCAAATGTTTTGGAAGGAACAGGAATATATGTAGTCAGACTAGAAACTTTTGCTCTCCCTCTTCAGCTTAATATGTGAATAACAAACAAAATCAAGTCCTAAAACACAAAGTCTGCTCTAAATAGATGTGTCTCCACTAAACACCCACCTCCTATACATATTTCTGCCTTTATGTCTATTCATTTTCTTCTTTTATGCTTTCTGCTTTCTTTTTTCTTTCCTTCTCTCTCTCCTCTTTTTTCCCCTTATCTTTTTCCTACTGATAATGATTTTAATTCTCTCATCCACTTCTAGGAAGACTGTCTCCTTTCACATATAGTTAGTTGTAGACATACCTCCTCTATGGTTTCTTGTTAAATCTTTCTTATAAGTTCATGAATTGTTGAAAACTGGTTGTTCCATTAAAATTTATTGTATATAGAAATAAGACCACTACAAGATTTAAAGAAAATACGATAGTTTGGCAAATGAAGGAAAAATGTAAGACTCTACCTCATAGATGACCAAATTTGAAACAAAGTAGAGCTAACATTTGTCACTTCATAAAATGCTAATAACATTTGCCAGAAAAAGGTATCACATCTTGCCTTTATAAAGGAACAACTATTCTTGGAAAGAACAAAGATGATTGTGAACTATGAACTTAGATTCAGTCTTGCACTTGAGCTGATTTCCTGCAGTATATTTTAAAGTCTGTTGATGTGTCCTCAAAGACCAGCAGAGCACAGTTCAGTGTACTGAGATATATTGTCCTTACGGCTCCTTTGTCACATTTGCTTGGGTACAGCTCCATTCAATCTTACGTGTTTACAGGGACCCTCTTCCCCATGGTTGTTTCTGAACACATATTTGGGATTACCTTTGATTTTCAACTCTTCTGTCTAAATTTCAAATTTTGAAACAACAAATTCACAGTACCTTCAAGCAGTTGTCTTTGTCCTTTCTCACTCAATCTAAGCTATCGGGGACAACTTTAAAAAAGGGCAAAATTAGACTAAGATAACAGACTTTGAGTGTAGCTGTTTGTAATGGTGCCAAAATGCTTTGAAATTATTCCCGTTCAGGTTCATAATTCTTTGCACAACGTCCAAACTTAGACTGCAAGGTTATTCTCTGTAGACCACACATTTAACTTGGACTATTGTTTCATGATCAAATCACTTGTAGCTACCAATTTTCTATAATTAGCTATATGATCTAATTAAATTAAGAGTGATTAGTGTATCTAAATTATCTATCAATATTATTTTTAGTTGACATAGTATTGTAGTTCGAAAAGATGATGCTTCCCTTTTGATGGCCAAGAGATTTAAGTAGGTGTATTTCTTGCCATTTCCTCTGATTCTGAACTTGATACATTTCTATATGCTTTTTTGTAGCTCAACAGTTAGATTTCTGTTAAAAGAGCAAATAACTCTTCAAGAATTTCATTTATACAAATATCATAAAGTATGAGAATGACAAATATTAAAAATTAATTTATAATTAATAAGAATTTATACTATAAATTAAGAAACTAAAGGAATATATCAAAATTTTAAGGAGTAAGACTGCTTCAAAAATATTTCTACACTATGATACATTTTAACATACTCCAATATATATGCCTCTGCTGTTTGAATTTTTAGCTATCATAGGAAATTCTTAGATTCACATGAAAGAAACTGATTGTTAAGTAATTGATTTATTTCCTCTAAATAACTGGTTAATTTCTAAAAACTCCACTTTATAGATAAAAGAATGGAGACCGAAGAGTTCCAACAACTTCTCCCAGCCCAGAGTCACAAAGCTGTTAAGCAGCAAAACTAGATTTGAATCTAGGTTGAGCATTTGCTTTTTCTGCTATACAGTGAAAATTCTGAATCTCATCAATGGAATGGAGTTAGGAAATTTGGTGGGAAGAGTAGTAATTTGCCATTGGTTGTAAAGGTTTTCAGACACCAAGAAAAGGAATACGTGAATGGAAAAAATTTTTCTCTTGATTCCTCTCCCCTGAGGATCAGTGGACCTGCACTATGGAAGCTAAAGCTAGCACAGCTTCAGTGTGAGGACTAACTACCACTGCTAGTTAAAAATGGTAAGCTATTCCTAAAAACTGTCAGAAAACTGTAATTTTGTCCTTGTGTCTATGTTGAATACTTGGTAAATCTCTTAGCATAAGCGCTAAAGGAAACGATGTGAGGCAAAGATAAAAAGAGACAAGAAAAGACAGGAAAGATAGAAATATAAGTGAAATATGATTTTTAATTTTTAAAATGATTCAATGCATGTCAAGAATTACAGTAGAATAGAATATTTAAAAATCAGAACCTAAAGGTCTGGGCCTATTTCTGAGATTGAATTTACCTAGTGCTACACTAGATATCTGGAGAAAGCTTAATTGTCACTAATTTTGCTCCATCTAATGTGTAGGAGGTGACTGGAGGTTCATCTGCACAAGTCAGGAGGGTCACAAAGCCCTGTGAAAAAGGCAAAGCTTCTGGAAGTCTTGATAGAACTTGTGCTCAGGCTCTCTTAACACCAAGGGATCTTTCCCTTGGCTAGAAGTGAGAGTGTATCTCCCACACCACAGAAAGCCATTAACATCTTTCTGTCAAATTCATCATTGTCTAATTGTGACAACTGCACAGGACCAATGCCAAACTGTGTGAAGCAAGACATAAACTCTAAATGAAAGAAAATGTCCAATAGTAGGTTTGACTGTTGCCTGCTTCTCTCAGAGATCATTTATAATCCTCCCACAACCATATCAACAGATTCTCATTGCTCATTATTCCTGTAACACTTTATCTTCTCCCTTGAAAAACACTACCCAGTTGTTTCCATACATAAAGCTTTGCTCATTCCTCATCTATCTTTTTGAGTACTACTGATTCATTGTGTGCTTAGAGCTGTGTAGGTTTTCCAAGAAAAAATCCTTGGCCCTTTGCTCTTTTCTTTATATATGCTCAATAAAACCTTCATGTTCACAGTTTTACCTTTCATTCTTACTAAAACTAAAGCCATATTTCCCCTTAACCTTCTCACAAGTCCACTAGAATATTTCTATGTACTTATTAGTCACTTCTTGCCTATTATTCTACTTTTATTTCCAAATCTACTTGTCTAAAGCCAAATTAATAAATACCCCAATAAAAATGCGGGCACAAACAGAAAATGTACAAAATAAAAAGACAAATGACTTACAAGCATAAAATTCTCCAAATCACCAGTTATCAAAGAATGCAAATAAAACCGAAAAAGGCATACCATTTACACATATCAAGTTGTCAAAGACTATTTTTGAAAGAAAATTATAATACAGAGTATTGGCAAGAGTGCAATGAATTGGTCACTCTCATATACTGTTGACAGAAGAGAAACTTGACAGAACTTTTCTGGAATGCAAATTGGCAATATGTATGAGAAGCTTTAAAATGATGCAATAATTGTAATCTAGTAATTCCTTTTCCCAGAATATATTTTAGGATAAAATGTGTTCTCTCAGTTCCTATTTTTCGGTCTCTCTCTTTCCCTATGCACACACATATATGAGGGTATTTCAAATGGAAAATGGGTAATATTTTTCAAGGACTTTGATTATCTTCTGCTTTCCCTAGTACATTAGTAGGAAGCTATTTTGAAGGGGAGCAGTCAGAAGTTGAACAAGCACTGTAATGGGAGACGGAGGTGTCACAAATAACAGCTTAACCTGCTGCATCACAATACCAGCCCCTACTTGTCTAATTTTATCAAATTTTGCCCAAGTCACTTTTCCTACTATGATATTCTTGATTTTCTTCCCTTGAAAATTCTCAATTCTGTTTACATCTTCTCATTTATCATCATGGTACCCACTTTCACTAAAATGTTACTGAAACACTTTAGGTTATGCAATACTCTTTTAACAACACTTATTATTTACTGGTGAAATTTGAGACATGGAAGTATCAATGCCAAGAATTTTTCTCCAGCTTGAGACCCAGCGATGGTTCCCTAAGACTCAATAAGATCTAAAGCATAAAAGATTCACACACAAGGCATTTTGCAATCTGGTACAAATCTACTCTCTTAGTATATCCTATGTCACTTGCTCCTTAACCCTTCTCTCCAATGAATCCTTCTTTCTCTCTGGTTTCTCCTTTTTCAATCAGGTGAAAAATTGCTAGAAGTTTGACACAAAACCCTAAAAAACTGTATTGTGTTCACAGGAGTTGTATTAATTTGTTATAAGTTTCTTGTGACAACTTTTTCATTGTTCTGCATCTTTTAAGCTTACATTTGTCTGTGGTATAGAGAAAACCACAGTTCAGGGAGAGAAACAACTTGCCTCAGTCAGCCTCTTTTGATCTGAGGTGATAAAATAGTGTAGGAATCCTTTGCCAGGTAATTAATTTCTTGTAACATATAGGGAGATTGACTGTTATCATAAGTCTGAGTTCACTGAAAGAAACATTAACCCACTGTTGGTGGGAATGCAAACTGGTCAAGCCACTATGGAAGTCAGTCTGGAGATTCCTCAGAAACCTGAAGATAACCCTACCATATAACCCAGCCATCCCACTCCTTGGAATTTACCTAAAGGAAATTAAATTGGCAAACAAAAAAGCGGTCTGCACCTTAATGTTTATTGCAGATCAATTCACAATAGCTAAGACCTGGAATCAACCTAAAGGCCCATCAACAGTAGACTGGATAAAGGCCAGCGCTGCAGCTCACTAGGCTAATCCTCCTCCTTGCGGCGCCAGCACACCGGGTTCTAGTCCCGGTCGGGGCGCCGGATTCTGTCCCGGTTGCCCCTCTTCCAGGCCAGCTCTCTGCTGTGGCCAGGGAGTGCAGTGGAGGATGGCCCAAGTCCTTGGGCCCTGCACCCCATGGGAGACCAGGATAGGCACCTGGCTCCTGCCATCGGATCAGTGCGGTGCGCCGGCCGCAGCGGCCATTGGAGGGTGAACCAACGGCAAAGGAAGACCTTTCTCTCTGTCTCTCTCTCTCACTGTCCACTCTGCCTGTCAAAAAAATTTTAAAAAAAAATTTCAAAAGTTTGTTTTTTGGGTCGGCGCTGTGGTACAGTAGGCAAAGCCTCTGCCTGAGGTCTGGCATCCCATATGGGATCCAGTTTATGTCCTGGCTGCTCTTCTTTCAATCTAGCTCTCTGCTTATAGTCTGGTAAAGCAATAGAAAATGGCCTAAGTGCTTGTGCTCCTGCACCCTCATGGGAGACCCAGAGGAAGCTCCTGGCTCTGGCTTCAGGTCAGCTTAGCTCCGGCCATTGTGGCCATCTGGAAAGTGAATTAGCAGATGGAAGACCTTTCTCTCTCTCTCTCTCTCTCTCTCTCTCTCTCTCTCTGTAACTCTACTTCTCAAATAAATAATTAAAATTTTTTTTAAAGTTCACAGTTACTTTTTGCTTTAAAAGATGATTAAACAAATTTTGCAGCTTTTTAAATACGGTATTAATTCAAATAGATACTGACATATTTTTGAAGAAAATTATTTTGATATGAGGGTTGAATGTGGACCATCTGTGTAGCAACAGCCCCAGATGTTAAGGATTTTTCACTCTGCATAGAAATCTGAATTTATTTCTATGCTGGAGATACACTTGGACAGGAAGTCTACACACCTACCCATTTACCACATCTCACCAAAGTTAAAGTGTAATTGTGGGTAAATTTCATTGCTTGCTTGGACATTATGAATATAATTACTCACTGTTAGACAATAAGAAATAGAAAACATTGAAGTGGCTTCCTCATACCTGGATCTGTTGATTTTGTTTGGTCAATTTGAGCTTTCATTAAAAGCCACTAAAGGTTAACCTTTCTTAATTGACGTAGTGGTAACAATTTGCTCTTTCCTGCCCTAGTAAAGGCAAAATGGAAAGAACCTGTCCTTCAGTCTGTTTGTGGTAGTTTTTTTTGTAAGTATAAACATTGAATTCCTCTGCTTACTTGGAGATGGAAGGTCATTAACAGAGCACTTGAGCAGATTGGAATTACAGTCAATGAAGACCTTGAAGCATCCTAAATGGCCTAATGCAGCAACTAAGTGCTTCTTAAATTCCAAAACTTTTACTTGAGCGTAGCAATCACAAATTTCCATTGCCTTTGGTAAAAGCTGTTCTATATACTTTTGTATGAGGAAGCAACACAGATTTAAACCATTATGTTTATGTGTTATGCTTAGCAACATCATTTGCTAAGATATAAAATTTAATTATCAGTTAATTAAATAGGGTTGCATCTTAAAATTAATAGTAAATTAGTGAAAAGCAAGTTTGGTGCTGTAGCAAGTGCCAGTGCAGTCGGCTTTGAAATTCCATGCTAATCTGTACTATTACAGCTATAGATGTGCAAAATGGCCACATGTAGGCATCAGATTAAAAAAAAAAAAAAAGGCCCTCCCTTTTTCCCTCTTTCAACATATATTGTCCTCATAAAGCATATTATATGAAAATAATACATGTAAAAATTCTTATAAAAAAAGCTGCAGTATACACAATAATAAATTATTACGAAGACCTGAATTTTAGTACTTACATTATCACTCACAAATAGCAGGATAAAAACCTCAACTTCACTGACCTTAGTTTTTTACATCTCCTAATTGAAGGATATCATTAAATGACCTACATGGTTATGGAGAACTACTAAATTTTATGATCTTAGGTGTACTTACATCATAATGAAACCATTTTTTCTTATTTATTCATGAAACCAAGTTTTTAATTTATAAGCTCACAGAGAGTTTGGATGATTTTTGTAATATAGAGAATGCAGCCATTGTTAAAAGTGAAGCGTAAGTGAGACAGGGAGAAGGGAAGACTGAGTGGAGTATTTAATCTTACAAGACAAACTCACAAACTGAGAGATACATGATGATAGTCGCTGTATTGGTAATTATTTCAGTGCACTAGCTCTAGCTTGAAAGTCTAGACTACAGAAGGAAGAGACTAGCTGTGAACTAGGAAATAGGATGCCAGCAGGACAGGTGTAGACATCTTTCCAAGATCAGAGTTAAGAGGAAACAGGAAATGAGGTGGCAATTAAGTAATCAGCTGCTGTCAAGATTATAATTTTTTGAAGAAGACAGTCC